AAAAAAATGTTGTGTGTATGTCAATTGTAACCAATTATTTTGATTTTTTATTACTATTATTGAACTTAAGGCAACAACCGAGTCTAATGATTTACGTAATGCATAAACTTGCGAATTTGAACTTTCAAATTTGAAGCGAGTTACGAATTTGAACTTACGAATTTGAATTCACCTCCTCGGCACCTGGAGGGACGGAGGTTCCCCCGACCTTCCTTTCCCCCCTCTTTCTCTTCCGGCTAACCTTTAGGGGGGCAACATCCTCCTCCGGAAGCTCGGGAACCTCGAGCTCAGTAACATTGTAGCAGTGCTTAAGCTCGCGCCACAAGTTTTTTCCCATAATGCCTGCAGACAAAAACGGAAACACATCAACAAAAGGAAATTACACAAACCTTAGCAAACCACCAAAACACGACATACTCACTCTCTAAGCCCCTCTCCCTGTAGGGCGAATTCGCAAGCGACAGAATGAGCTTGCAATCCAGCGGGCGAGGGAGCGCAGCAAGGTTTTCAATGGCGGCTACCTCCGAAGCTGTCACCTCCAGGTTACCCAAACCGTGAAACCTAGACGGTTTGGGACACCAGTAAAAAGGAAATTTCGGCAACCCACCGAAATGAAACACCTCATCTTCCAAAGGGTCGACACCCACAAGGGCGACCCGGAAAAACTCCTGTTTGAAATTTTTATATGACTGGGAGTAGAGAGTAAATAGACCCCCATCCCTACTCCCACCCAAAGACAAAGTACCGTAAGGAGGGGCACTCATCTTCAGCTGATAAAAATGAAGAAAGACGTGAAGAGACACCTCTATCCCCAGCACTGTACACAGGACTTGAAAAGCCCTCAAAAAACCCCAACTATTGGGGTGCAACTAGCAAGGAGCCGAGTTGATGAAGTTCAAAAAATCGCACTCAAATTGGGTGAAGGGAAGGCAGACACCTAAATCCCTAAAAAAGCTTTGGTACATATAGAAATGGGGAGGGTCAGTAGACTTCCCCATGTACACGCCCTCAGCGGCCTGACAAGGCTCAAGCCGAATCATATGGGAGATAGAAGGGTCACAAACCCTACACGACCTAGAGATCCTATTAACATCAAGAAAGGTCCGAAAGACGGGGCGGATCCCTCTTTTCGGCGGTGGCCTTTCCGGTAGCCACCGCCTTACCACGCGCCTTACCACGAGAAGGCGCAGAAGAACCGGCACTACTCCCCCCAGCCATGAAAATGAAAAGAAAGACTCGAAGAAAAACCGGGAAGAAGAGAAAAGAAGACAGTAAAAAGGAAGTACCTGGTACTCCTCTTTAGAAAATAACCCTAACAACGAAGGGGTTAGCGGAAACGGTGACTGAAACGGAAACAGAGAACGGACGAAAATGAGAAGCGGCGTACGCAAGAAGTTGAAGAAAGAGTAAAGTAAAGAAAGAAAAGAGGCGCGAGTGAGAGAAAAGAAAAAACTCTCCCCCAAATTCAAAATGGCCATGCCACGTCTCAACCTAAGGGCACGCCTGAAAATTAACACAATTAATTGCAAATTCATCATTGTATAACCGTCATTTCCCATGACACGCCACTTGCACGTTTCCAGGAAATGAACATCCGTAACACATTGCACCAGAACGAGCAAACATACGCGAGAGGTCACCTCCCCCAGCGAGCTCGGCCTTAACTCCTCAGCCTTCGGCCTTCGGAGCTCGGGGGGCTAGTGTACTATTCGTATTGCGTAACCGAGCTTCGAGCTCGGTACCGCAACGCAAACCGACCTCGGACCCGCACCACGTGACGTCAGCTCGGTATTTACATGAACCATAACTGATCCCCGAGGATCTCGCCCCAGACGAGATCCATTATCTAATCATATTACACTTCGTCTCAGGCCCAAGGCCCAAAGCAACCCTAAATCATACCAAGGTACGTGCATTACATATACAAGACTACTACTCATACAAACCCTAACTTTAGAATCGGAGTCTCTTTTGCAGGTACCACCCCCATCTTGGAGTACCAGCGTACCAGTGAAGGAGGCTCACCGATCTTACCTGGCGAATCACCTCTACGGCAGATTTCCGGTAAGAACAATTTGTATTTATTAATAATTTATTTTAAAATTATTAAATTTAATTTAAAAATATACATGGTGAATGTAAATTAAAATAAATAAAAAAAGTTAAAAAAATATATAAATCTTCTTATTAAAGAAAAGGACGTAAAAGTATTTAGAAAAATTCTATAAACACACTCTCACATAATATAGCTACTCGTGTTCAATATAGAAAGAGGAGTTTTATATAAAAGAAACAAAAACTTATTTAATAAAAGGGTTTTTGTTAAGTTATTTTTAAAAAAACAGAATATTTTAAACTTATTTTTTTTATATTTTAGTTTCCTATTGTTTGTAATTTTTTACTGTTTCATTTTTCTCTCTTGTTATTATTGTTTTAAAATTAGTGATTAATTGAAAACAGAAAAGTAAATACACAAATAATTAGATAATGCACTCCCACAAATAATTAGTTTTCCTTATGCATTATTATCATCATATCCTGGGCAGATGGACACTTCTTATTTTATGTTTGTTTCTTATTTTTAAATATTAGTTTTCTTTTAAAACATTTTTGGCTAAAAATTATTTACTTATGCGAGACTTTTAGATAAATATTACTAAATTAAAGAAATTATTATTATTATTATTTATTACAAGTCTGTTTGGATAAATATTTTTAGAAGTACTTATAAGAGAGAAAAATAAAAATTTAAAAAATTATATGAGTTAAAGCTAATTTATACATAAATCAAAAATAAGATTTTTAAAAAAATTAATAAAAGAGAATTTCTCAAATTAACTAATTTCATATAAAGAAACTTATTTTATTATATTTTTCTTCATATTTTTCTTTTTTAAGAAGAGATTATAAAAAAGTTTAGTCATGTATACCTATAAAATTGGTTACACAATTGGTGGTTAAAGATAGTAAAAAAACATTATTTTCAGCAATTAAACTACAATATACTAATAGTTGCATAATACAAGATCTTTCCAGGTAAGTCTTCATTATATATATTTAGATGTTTGTGAAACTTTGATGAGAAATTGCGTCCATATTTGGCAAAGAATACTGATTGATAATAATAAAATTATACATCATAAGGGTTAAAATGTAGCACGGGAAGACAAATAAGGGGGTGAGCCATGGTCAACGACATGCCAGAGCCTGATTGCATATCAACCTTTGCACCTTTTCCATCTTCACCAATTCTCCAATCAAAGCACTGCACCATGGCAGCAATTGCAGTGTTCATCAAGCTGAATGCCAGTGTTGTCCCAGGACACCCTCTCCTTCCACCTCCAAATGCCACAAAATTGAACTTCATTCTCTTACCATCATCACTTAAACAATCCTCATCTTGTTCTTGCAAGAACCTTTCAGGGATAAACTCATTTGGATGGTCCCAAGAATCAGGGTCCCTCATTATGGCATACAAGTTTATTGCCACTGCTGTTTTTGGTGGCACATCAAAGCCGTTTATTTTGCAGTGTTGGCGACACTCTCTTGTTGTGACTGGCCCTGGTGGATAAAGTCTTAGTGTTTCCTTCACAACTGCTTGCAAATATGGCATGTTTGGGATATCTGATTCTTCAACTAGCCTACCATTGCCTGTGACTAACTCTATCTCCTTTCTCACCCTTTGAAATGCTTCAGGGTGGTTAAGGAGCTCAGCCATTGCCCATTGCATTGCTTCTGCTGATGTTTCTGTGCCTCCAATGAAGAGGTCCTTGCCACAAGAGTAAATTCATGTTAGTTTCGTAGAGGCCATCACAATCTTAATCTACAATTATCAACCACAAACAAGGCTTTAGAGTATGGTTGAGTAAATTTTTTCAAAAACACTTCTAAAAGAGTAAAAGTGAAATAAGTGTTTTTATAAGTTAAAATAAGTCTCAGCTGATACAAATTAGTTTATACATAAGATAATTTTAAATTACAAAAAAGCTTATTTCAGGTTTTCTTTCCATTTTTCTCCTGAAATGTTTCTAAAAATATTTTTCTAAACAAGATCTTTGAGAAACTATTTGCAATCGCTGTTAACAAAGGTTTTTGGAGTCTATACAACCACAATTGTGAGTGTAATAGGAAATATTACATGTAATTCAATGGTAAATTAAAAACATAATTGTTCATAAATTTACCAAATACAGAAAAAGAAGGTTTAAAAAACCACCCTTCATTCTTTTTGGGTGCAATAAATCCACACTAGCCATGCATTAAAAACAAATCACCTTATTACTAATTCTTCAGTCCTACATTTCAACACGTTAAAGGAGTTTATTTTATAGGAAAATGTAAGAAGGTGATTGATTAAAAAGCTAACCATTCAAATATAAACACTTCCTTTTATAATGAACACAAAGAAAGATAAATATATGATAAATGGAACTTACCAGAAAGAAGGCTTTAATATGAGTCCTTGTGATCTTGAACTCTGCATGAGCATCATGGTAAACATCTAATAGAATATCCATCAAATCCCTTTCACTTTCATCACCAGAATGCTCATTTCCACTTGATAATCTTTTGTGTTCATGTTCCTTGAGCACCTTCTCCAACAATTCATCGTACCTTGTGCTCACATCCAAAGCCCTTTTCCCATAAACCCAGAAACTCAACATCTTGAGAGGGCCCAACACATCTCCAAAGCAAAGCTTCGCAGCTAGCTCAAAGGTCTCCTTTACCAGCTTCCTGATCCTCTCAGCATCCTCGCAGTTATCCGAACAACTTGTCGCAAATCAAACACCACCAAAACAGTCATTTTTAAAAAAAATATTATATGTTTTAAACATGAAAATCTAAAGATAAGTTCGGTGTACAATGTACTTGTTCTGAAAGGAAATAGATTTTTTTTTATATAGATTTAATACATTAATAATTCTATATTTTTAAAATTTAGTCCTGAAATTATAAATTTGTTTACAATCCATCATATCACTATTTCATGTTATTATTCATATGAATCAAGTTTTAATTCTTAATCGTAAAAATTTCTTCATAATACCTCTGATCATAAGAATTTAGGGATAATAGAAAATTTTAATTTTTAACATGTAAAGATTAAAATATGATATTCATAGATGATGACATGAAAATAGTAAGCTAATGTGATTTTTCAAATTCATATATGAGGATATAAAGGATATTTAATTAGTGAAATTTTACAGATTATAAACAAATTTTTAACCTCAAATTTAAATTAATAAATATAAAAAATTGAATCTAATTATAATTTTTTTAATTTAGGTATTTAATTAAAATTTTAAAAAAAAATTAGAGACGAAATGGTGTATTAATTTTTTAATAATTATCATATTGTACAAAAAAACTTGTTTTAAAATTTTATTTTATTTCTAAATTTTCCATTATTACATATAAAGATGTGATATGAGAAATAGTATATATAATACTAAAAATGTATAGAATTGTTCGGTGTACCGAGAACTAAATGTTTCCTAAAATTTATCAAAAATTATAAAATGAGAAAAGTTATAAAATAAAGTGTAAGATTTACATATATTATTTATATTTTTAATAAATTTTAATTAATTAAAAATATTAAATAGTGTGTTTCTAAGAATACTATTAAAATAATATGAAGATCAAATAGTTTCAACCTTTCAATCAATACACCTAGAAAAAAGAAAATCATGATAGAGAATAGGAGTAGTAATTAACAGAAACCTGGTGCTCATTGCCATCCTGCAAGTGACATTATTGGTGAATTTCATGAAGTGAGAGCCCAAGTCAAGGGCAACACAGTCCCGAGCCTTCTCCAACACATTTCTGAGGGAACGCTCAATCTCTTCCCTCCTCACCCTCTTGGAGCGCTCCAGCTGGCGCGCGGAGAGAAGCTCCGTCATGCAAAGCCTCTTCATGAAGCGCCAGTAGGGCCCATAGGGGGCGGTGATGAAGCCGGCGCTGCCGAAGGGGAGCTTCTCCGCAAAGGCGAAGGCGGGGCGCGAGGAGAAGGCCAGGTCGTGGGTCGTGAAGAGGGCGGCGGCGAGCGCGGCCGAGGAGGCGACCAGGAGGCGGCGGGAGGGGCCGAGGCGGAGGAGGAGGAGAGGGCCGTGCTTGGAGGAGAGGGCGTGGAGAGAGTTGTGGAGGGATGGAGAGAGGAGGTGGAGGTGGCCCAGTAGGGGAACGCTTGGAGGACTTGGTGGAAGGTGGAGATTCTTAGTGGAAGAAGAGAAGAAGAAGAAGGCGTATGTTAGAACAAGGGACAAGAGGAAGAGGAACAAGAGTGTCTCAATCATGTTATGGTGACTATCTTATGTTGGGAGTTGTGGGATGTGGCCTTCATTTCATCAACCCATATATATATAATATTCATGCCTTTGTTGTCGCATTCTCATCAAACCATCCACGTATAATTATAATTAATGTACCACACAACTCCCGAGTCGAGCTCATGACTAGGAGTTTGGAACATAGCTCAAGGAGCAACAAAGAACAATGTTGACATTATATTTCTAAAGATCCAAAAGTCCGTAAAAAAGAGCTATACATTAGGGATAATTTCCCTGCACAATAAATGTCGTGCACAATTATAGAAATAGAGAAACTCTTCGGTATCATTATATTTAGGGTAATTTTGGAATCTTTCTTACGTGACATAATTATAATGGTTAAGTTAACGCATATCGTACCAAGTCATTTACATAAATAGCAAACTTTTAAAAATTGTAAAATAGTCCTTTAAGTGTTAAGTTAAAAGTTTAAGATTATTTGTATTTGTAGTTCTGTAGCGGTGGCTTTTCGATAGGTAAAGATTTCGACTAGTTCATTGTTGCCGTAGAGTGAAGTACTCAACATTGTTGGCTGACTTTCAGGGTTTAGGGTTTGACTTTCAAGAAGGTCATCTTTATTGTTTTCGGGTTTGTTTTCTTGGTTGACTTTCAGGGTTTAGGATTTGACATTGATTTTCTCCTTCATTATCTTTGTTCTGTAGCTTCATTAGTTACAGGTTTGCACCATTTCGTTGCCATCGTCGTTAACTACTCGACGTTCTTCCTTTAGATTTTGGGTTCCGACTTTAACTTTCGAGAAGGTAATCTCCATTCGTCGTGTTCCACTTTCAATTTCATAGGTTATTTGGAAAATTAATCACTTATTTGGAATTGTCTTCTTCCTTTAGGTCGGGTTTTGGAAAAGGTAATTTTGATTGTTTGGCAGTAGCTATTCGACATTGATTTTTGGCGAAAAGGTAATGTTCTTTATTTTTTTTTTTATGTTACTCTCTCTATTATGTTATGAGTTTGGGGTTTTTTTGTTTTAAATTTTGTGTATAATTAGTTAACAGAAAATGAAGGTTGTGGTGAAAAATGAATGTGTTTGCACTATGAATGTGTTTGCACTATGGCTTTAATGTGTTAGTGTTATACACTATTTTTTTTTCTTGTATAAACCTTTTTGGTTATACTCTGTTTTTATTTGAATTGTATTTGTTTTATTTAATGAAGGTTGCATTTTGTTTTCACATAAGTAACTTTTTCCTTAATACTATGGTTTAATTTTAATATATACATTTATTTTGGTTTAACTGTATGTATTCTTTGATAGATTAGTTATTTGAAATTCATGTTACGGTATATATTGCAGATGGATAATTGTGATAGAGAACCAACTGTTAATTTGGGTGATGATAAGGATTTAAGTAATGATGTTGTTATACTTGATGACATTGATAAAGATGGTGTGAATGATGATGTTGATGGAAAGGTTGGTGAAGAAGAAAATGTATCAACTGATGAATTTAAAAGAATAGCTGATTTGACAGGTGATGATATTAAAGTTTTAGAATTTTGTAGTGAAGACCATGCTTTTGAATTTTATACTGCATATGCTAGGTTTCATGGGTTTGTAATAAGGAAAGAAGATATACATAGAGATATAAAGGGAAATGTTATTAAACGTCTTTTTGTATGCAATAGACAAGGTTTGTGAAATAAAAAACACTACTTGAGGGTGGATAGGAAAATGGAGCATAGGCCCATCACTCATACTAATTGTCAAGCTAAGCTTCGTGTTTACCTTGATTATAAAACTTCTAAATGGAGTGTATTTTCATTTGAGGAAACTCATAATCATTATGTTACCCCACTCCATGATATCCATCATATTCCTAAGTACCGTGTACTTTCTGATGGTGATAAAGCTCAAGTGAATAGTTTGCATTCATTTGGTGTTAGAACTTGCCACATAATGGGATATTTATTATCTCAAAAGGGTGGATATGGTAGTATTGGTTTCTCAAAATGTGACCTTTACAATCATTTTATCGAACCCAACGTGATATGATTAAAGATGGGGATGTGAGTGTTGCATTAAGCTATTTAGAAGGCAAGGCTGGTAATGATCCAAAGTTTTATTCAAAATTTCAAACTACACATGATGGTAAATTGAAGGATTTATTTTGGGTAGATGGATGTAGTAGATCAAACTTCCAATGTTTTGGTGATGTACTTGCATTTGACACCACGTACAAAAAGAATAAATACAACATTCCTTTGGTAATTTTCTCTAGTTGTAATCATCATTCTCAAACAACTATTTTTTGTTGTGCTTTGTTGGCTGATGAAATTACTGAGACTTATAAGTGGGTGTTGGAGACTTTCTTGGATGCAATGCATAATAAATATCCAAGATCAGTTGTTACAGATGGTGATGGAGCTATGAGGGAGGCCATAAGACAAGTATTTCCAAATGCATCACATCGTCTTTGTGCATGGAACTTGCATAAGAATGCTTGTGAGAATGTTAAGATTTCTGAATTTTTATCAGATTTTAAGACAGCCATGTATTCAAACTTTACTCCTGATGAATTTGAATCATATTGGAAGAAGATAATTTCAAAGCATGGTCTTGTTGGAAATAAGTGGGTTTCTAAAACATATGATATTAAGCATTTGTGGGCTACTGCTTATTTTCGTGATAAATTTTTTGGCCGCATAAGAACGACTTCTCAGTGTGAAGCGATAAATTCAATAATCAAAACTTATGTTAGGAGAAAATGTACTATAATAGAATTCATACAATGTTTTGACCAAGCTTTAAGAGAATATAGGAACAATGAACACATTGCAGATTTTAAAGATTCTTTTGTTGAACCAGTGTTGACTACCTCTTTGTATAACTTTGAGCGTAAGGCTTCAAAGATATATATACCATGGAGATATTCAAAGAAGTGAAGGAAGAGATAATAGTTGCTGGGGCATTGAATGTTGTTGAGCGAATACAAAATGGAGACCAATTGTTGTTCAAGATTAACATGTATTGTAATCGTATGAAAGAAGTCAATGTTGTTTATGATACAGTGAAGTGTAACATAGTTTGTGAATGTCACTTATTTGAATCTCGTGGAATACCCTGTGCTCATATTTTTGTTGTTATGAAAAATGAGTACATGAAAAATATTCCCCAGAGTTTAATTTGTAGAAGATGGACAAAGACAGCAAAGACTGATTTATTATGCTCAGATACATTGGAAACAACTTCAGATGTGATGAAAAATGCTTAATTTGGGGCAGTTTTTTTTGTTGCTAATAGGATTTGTGATATTGCTGCAAACAAAAAAGGAATTTATTTACTTAAATTAGAGATAATTTTTTAAATTTGGCTCATAAGTATGAGAAAATGCTGGATGGAAGTCACAATGACATGTCATGTGTCAATGGAGTTGGCGATCCGATGGTAGTGAAGACAAAAGGGACTCCAAGAAAGAAAGGATTTGTGGTAAGAAAAGACGATGTAGAAACTGTAATAACATTGGCCACACAATTAGGAGATGTTCAAAGTTTGTTGGTTCTCTTGACATGAATCAAAACAATGAAGAAAATGAAGACAATGCATCAATTGTAGAATCCATTGATGATGACCATGTAATCTTATTATGTTTGACAATTAAGTTTTGTTTTGTGTCCTTACAAAAAAAATTTAAATAATGATACAAAATTCTTGTTTTTTAGGAGAAGGAAGATCCGACACATGATGATGATACAAATGAGGTTGTTGATATTTTCTAAAATTTATTCTTATTATGTTATTTACAATTTATTTTGTGTTAGTATTTGTATTTCTAACGTCTAATTTTATTTCATTTTATTGCAGAATGCGAAAGACAAGAAAAAAGAAATGGATAAGAAAAGACAATTAAGAAAGTCAAAACCTCTAATGTAGAAAAATCAATTGTGTGCTTTAATTTTAAATTCTTTTGTTTTTTGTGTTGTTACTGTTTGAGTAATTTTCTTTTGGGTTTAACTGTTTATTCGTAGAAGCAATTAACAACTACATCAACAAGTAGAGCAACACTAGTAATCCCTAAAGTCAAAGTTGTGGTTCCTTCTTTTCCCCCTTGTAGTGGAGTTAATTCAATTTATCCCCCAGGAATTTTCATTCCACCTTCATTTGCATACTTGCCATCCCAATATATTACACACAATCAAGGCCTATCTATTTCAGTTAATTCTCATTATTCAGTTTTTACACAGCCTTCTCAGGTTTGATTTTAAATTATATTTAATTTTGTAGGTATTTTCAGTTTTGTAAAATTTTTAAATACTAACCGATTTTTTTAATGCAGAACAATACAATGCATAATGTCAGTAGGGTTTCTATTGGAATAATTTGCTTCAACACAGTGACGGATCCAGAAATTTTATATAGTGGGGGCAATATTTATTTATATATTTGTAATATTAAAAATTTTATATATAATTTTTAAAGACATAAAAATATATTATAATTATTTTTTACAAGCTTTTATATCTACGATTATAATTAAAGATGAAAATAAACTAGGTTAGATTAGATTTTATTACAATTTAGTAGGTTTAAATATAAGTTTATTTACAAATATATATTCTAAGTATGACTTAATTATCTATCATAGACATTTTTAAATGTTTGGGTAGAACTACAATCCTAAAGGTCTACTTTATAATAATTTAATACTATTAAAAATATAAAAATAAATATGTTAAATTTTATAAAAACCAAGTTTAATTTATTTATGATATAAATATATTTTTAATATCTAATATATTTTTAGATGATAATTTATTTTAAAATATA